AAGGCCAGGAGCCTCTAGTAGCGTTCTTGCTCCTAGCAGGAAGGCCGGAGACCCTAGTAGCTTCTTGTTCCTAGTAGTAAGGCCAGGAACCTCTAGTAAGCAGGAAGGCCGGGAGCCCCTACGGTAACATGACAAACGTGGAATTGACCCGAATATGTCATTGTCGCTTGGACCATCGTTTGAGGAATCTTAATCCATTTTCACGGCTGGCTTTCCGAAGTGCGTTTTGTCGGAGAGTGATCAGGCCGGATTCCAGATTCTTTCCAGTGAAGATGCCAGCGTGGGTGGACACCAGTACCCTTTGATTGAGAAGGCTGAGACATTCTTTGTGGCCACGCAATGGCTGCTCTCCATGTTGACGAAGATGCACATCATTCCTTCCCACTTCCTCACGCTCTTTGAGCGGCTTACGAAGGATGGTGAGGCTTTTGTAGAGGCTGACAAGATGGGGCTCTTTACAACCAGTTGGCAGATTATTGCACAGAAGCCAGAACAAGCAAAAATGTAGCACCCGGACAACTGTGGCTCGCTTGTTTTCACAAGCCTGGTGCCCTGTCGGTGCAATGTACCAGAATTGCATGACCTTCTCAGGACGATGTTTATATTTGGAGTTCTGCACGGCGGCTGAAGACAGAATTCGTCGAGTTTTCCCCACCAGCCAATCGCTGCAGAGTTATAAGTTATGATGTTCTGAGACGTAGTTTTTTTTGAGCAACTGTGCACAACGCACATCAAAGAAACTGTTGGAGAGGGCCGGAAAGATTTGAGCAACATGTTCGGCCGCAACAAAAGCACCGTCGTGGCAGCAACAAGCCTGGCTGTTGCAAAGAAAGCTGCGTGTATGGCTCAATAGGATAAGTGGTGTAGTTTATTCTTTTTCGGAAGGGTCTGGACCGAATCTGCGAGAATCAAGAGGAGAAGGGGACGAGCTCAATCAAAACACAAACCAGAAGAGCAAGATTAACATTCCAAAACAGCAACGAATAAGAAGAAACTGTTCACACACACACACACATGTGCGTCACAGGTGTGTTAGGAACGAGTTCTCAAAGGGAAGGCGGTTTGCTAGTAGGTTGGAGGCCATCGCTACTAGGTTGGAGGGACCAGGACCAAAGGGAAGGCGGCTGATGGCTCCCCCTGTTGCTGGAGTGGACGGTGCTTGGGCGTGTCCAGCGTGGCGTCCTCAGGTCCCGGACGTCCGGACTGATAACAAGTGCATCGCTACTAGTGACAAGTAGGAAAGACAAAAAGGAAGAAGGACACAGTAGATAAAGGAAGAAAGGTCTGTAAAAAATCAAAATAGAAACAAAAGCACATTCCGACCTCTGTCCTCTCCTTTTAAAGACGTTCCTTTTCTCCCTTTTTGCTTGATCCTCTAAGTTCGTGAGATGTGGCTTCATTTGGGGGTTCACTTGAGTGCAGACGTGTGCAGCCGTTAGGTGCCGCAATGTGAACTTTGCCAAGCGGGATGTATGCAACCGCTCCCTGGCAAGCCCAGTAGGTGGCCTCAGGCCCCAAACCCTTTCTCAATTCCCAACCACTCCAGTACAGACTAGCAGGTTGGAGGCCATCAGTATTCGGTTGGAGGCCATTGCTAGTAGGTTGGCGGCCATGGCTATCAGGTTGGGGGCCTCCAACGTGAGGTACACTATGCGCATTGCCAATCTGAGCCAAGGTTGCATGGCTGCAAAGCCAATGCTTGGAGAAGAACCTCCGCAGTTGCGCCAGAAGCATGCGCAGACGAAGAGAAGTGGTCCACCAGTTGCTGGTGTGGATGGAAATTGGGCTTGCACG